ATTTCCTGGGCATATTGTTTGGGTCAGGAGTTTGGTGCTTATTTTGTGCAAAGAAGACCCTCCAAAGATGTACAAAAACGAATCGTCAACTTAATCAGACAAATTCTGTTTAAACGGTTGGCATTAGAATATGGATTTTTAACGAAATTTCTTAGACTTTATTTACTTAGACAACTAATCGCCGGTGCAAAAAAGCGACAATGTTATGCTGGCCTCTTGCTATCATTGTTGTCGTGCATAGCCTTATATTGCTGTGAAGAAGACGCTCTAAACCATCACAATCTACTTGAACCTTCCACTTTTTTTTCTTTTTTTTTTTTGAAGTACGTAGCGTTCAATTCACATGGCTAACTGTACATGACTTCAATTCCTGCAAGAACCTGCTCTTAAGCGCGTTCTTGTCACAGACCACTATATAACATTCTTAGGCAGATGTGATCGATCAAAATAATGTAAAACACAATTACAGGAAGGTTTTGTCTACATGTTATCGCTTTGCAAATTTTCGGTTGATATACGTATATATCGAAAACAGCAAATCGCCAGTCTCAAATGGCGCTGCCACGCGGAAATCTCCTGGACATATTATTTGAGTTAGGGCTTTAATTCTCATATTGTGCAAAGAAGACCCTCCAAAGTTGTACAAAAACGAATTTTAAACGGAATCAGACAAATGATGTTTTAACAGTTGGCTTTAGAATATGGTGTATTTTTGGAAAAAATATGCACTTTATATAGAGAAAGAACAAAACGCTGGTCCAAAAAATGACCATGCCGTGCGGAAATTTCCTGGGCATATTTTTTGGGTTAGGAGTTTGGTGCTTTTTTGTGGAAAGAAGACCCTCCAAAGATGTACAAAAACGAATCGTCGACTTAATCAGACAAATTGTGTTTAAACGGATGGCATTAGAATATGGATTTTTTTAAACAAAATTTCTTAGACTTTATTTGCTTAGACAACTAATCGCCGGTGCATAATAGCGTCAATGTTGCTGTAAAGAAGCCGCTCTAAACCATCACAATCTAATTGATCATTCCACTTTGTTGTTAAGTTTGTAGCGTTCATTTCACAATGGTTAACTGTACATGACTTCAATTCCTGCAAAAACCTGCTCTTAAGCGCATTCTTGTCACAGACAACTGTATAACATTCTTAGAAAGATGTGATCGATCAAAATAACGTAAAACACAACTTCAGGAAGATTTTGTCTCCATGTTATCGCTTTGCAAATTTTCAGTTGATATACGTTTATATCGAAAACAGCAAATCGCCAGTCTCAAATGGCGCTGCCACGCGGAAATCTCCTGGACATATTATTTGAGTTAGGGCTTTAATTCTCATATTGTGCAAAGAAGACCCTCCAAAGTTGTACAAAAACGAATTTTAAACGGAATCAGACAAATTGTGTTTTAACGGCTGGCTCTAGAATATGGTGTTTTATTATACAATTTATATAGACAAAGAACAAATCGCATTTCACAAAAATGGCTATGCCACGCGAAAATCTCCTGGACATATAGTTTGAGGTAGGAAGTTGGTGCTCAGTTTGTACAAAGAGGACCCTCTACAGATGTACAAAATCGAATTTGAAACAGAATCACACTAATGGTGTTTGAACGGTAGGCTTTAGGATATGGTGTTTTTTTATACAATTTATATAGACAAAGAACAAATCGCGTTTCACAAAAATTGCTATGCCACGAGGAAATCACCTGGACATATTATTTGAGTTAGGGCTTTAATTCTCATATTGTGGATAGAAGACCCTCCAAAGTTGTACCAAAACGAATTTTAAACGGAATCAGACAAATGGTGTTTTAACGGCTGGCTCTAGAATATTGTGTTTTTTATACAATTTATAAAGACAAAGAACAAATCGTGTTTCACAAAAATGGCTATGCCACGCGGAAATCTCCAGGACATATTGTTTGGGTTAGGACTTTGGTGCTCATTTTGTACAAAGAGGACCCTCCAAAGTTGTACAAAAAGCGAATTTGCAACAGAATCCTACGAATGGTTGTTGAACAGATGGCTTTAGGATATGGTGCTCTTTTACGAAAATTCATGCACTTAATATAGAGAAAGAACAAAGCGCCATTCCAAAAAATGACCATGCCATGCGGAAATCTCACGGACATATTGTTTGGGTTAGGGCTTTAGTGCTCACTTTGTGCATAAATTGTACAAAAACGAATCCTCATCGGAATCAGACAAATGGTGTTTTAACGGTAGGCGTTAGAATATGGTATATTTGAAGAAAAAATATGCACTTTATATAGAGAAAGAACAAAACGCTGGTCCAAAAAATGACAATGCCGTGCGGAAATTTCCCGGGCATATTTTTTTTGGTTAGGAGTTTGGTGCTTTTTTGTGCAAAGAAGTCCCTCGAAAGATGTACAAAAACAAATTGTCAACTTAATCAGACAAATTCTGTTTAAACGGTTGGCATTAGAATATGGATTTTTAACGAAATTTCTTAGACTTTATTTACTTAGACAACTAATCGCCGGTGCAAAAAAGCGACAATGTTATGCGGGCCTCTTGCTATCATTGTTTTCTTGCATAGCCTTATATTTCTGTAAAGAAGACGCTCTAAACCATCACAATCTACTTGATCATTCCACTTTCTTTTTGAAGTACGTAGCGTTCATTTCACAATAGCTAGCTGTACATAACTTCAATTCCTGCTTTAAATTTTCATATTGTGCAAAGAAGACCCTCCAAATTTGTACAAAAACGAATTTGCAACGGAATCAGACACATAATGTTTTAACGGCTGGGTCTAGAATATGGTGTTTTTTATACAATTTATAAAGACAAAGAAAAAATCGCGGTTCACAAAAATGGCTATGACACGCGGAAATCTCCAGGATATATTGTTTGGGTTAGGGCTTTAGTGCTTATTTTGTACAAAAAGGATCCTCCAAAGATGTACAAAATCGAATTTGCAACAGAATCACACTAATGGTGTTTGAACGGTTTGCTTTAGGATATGGTTCTTTTTTTTACGGAAAAAATTGAAGCACTTTATATAGAGAAAAATCAAAATGCCAAAATGCCAGTCCAAAACTTGACCATGCCATGCGGAAGTCTCATGTATATATTGTTTGGGTTAGGGCTTTGGTGCTCATTTGATGCAAAGAAGACGCTCCAAAGTCGTACAAAAGGAATTCTCATCGGAATCAGACAAATGGTGTTTTAACGGTTGGCTTTAGAATATGGAGTATTTCAAGAAAAAATATGCACTTTATATCAAGAAAGAACAAAACGCCGGTCCAAAAAATGACCATGCCGTGCGGAGATTTCCCGGGCATATTGTTTAAGTTAGGGCTTTGGTGCTCATTTTGTACAAAAAAGACCCTCCCCAGAGATGTACAAAAACGAATCATCAACTTAATTAGAGATATTGTGTTTAAACGGTTGGCATTAAAATATAGACCTTTTAACGAAATTTCTTAGCCTTTATTTAATTCGACAACTAATCGGCGGTGCAAAAAGCGACAATTTTATGCGGGCTTCTTGCTATCAATTTTTTCTTGCATAGCCTTATAAAGTTGTAAGGGAGACGCTCTAAACCATCAGAATTTACAATCTTGAAGGTTTTGTCTTCATGTGATCGCTTTGCACATTTTCAGTTGAATTAGACGGAATTATACTAACGGTGTTTGAACCGTGGGCTTTAAGATATGGTGCATTTTTACGAAAATTCTTGCACTTTATATAGACAAAGAACGCCGTTCACAAAAATGGCCATGCCATGCGGAAATCTTATGAACATATTGTTAAGTTTTAGGCTTTTGTGTGTTGTACAAAAACGAATTTGCAATGGAATCAGTCTATTGGTGTTAGAACTGTGAGTTTTATGATATGGTTCTTTTTTACGAAAATTCGTGTATTTTATATAATGAAAGAACAAAACACCGGTCCCAAAATGACAATCTCAAGGGCATATTGTTTAGGTTGTTTAAGTTAAGGCTTTTGTCCCAATTTTGTGCAAATAAGACCATCCAAAGTTGTACAAGAACGAATCGTCTTTGGAATCAGACATATGTTGTTGTAACGGTTGGCTTTAGAATATGGTGTATTTTATCAAATAAATACGCACTTATATTGAGAAAGAACAAAACACCGGTTCAAAAATGACCATGTCGTGCGTAAATACCCCAGGCATATTGTTTAGGTTAGGGCTTTGGCCTTCGTTATGTGAAAAAAGACCCTCCAAAGATGTACAAAAACGAATCGTCAACAGAATACGACAAATTGTGTTTTTAAAAACTGTTGGCTCTTTAATATGGATTTTTCTAACTAAATTTCCTTGAAGTTATTTACATAGACAACTAATCGCTGGTCCTAAAAACGAGAATTTTATGCGAGCCACTTGATATCATTTTCCTTACGAGAGCTAGATTTTTTTAACAATGCCACGCGGAAATCTTCAGGACATTTTGTTTGGGTTTGGGCTTTGGTGCTCAATTTATACAAAGAAGACACTTCAAAGTTGAGGTTAGGTTAGGGCTTTAGTCCTCGCTTTGTGTGTGCAAAGAAGACCCTTTTATTATTAAACATATTGTTTAGTTCAGGCCTTTCGCGCTCATTTTGTGCAAGGAAGATCCTTCAAAGATGTACAAAAACGAATTTGCAACGGTATCAGACTATTGGTCTTAAGGATATGTTTTTTTTACGAAAATTCATGTACTTTGTATAGAAAAAGGTCATAACGTCTGTCGAAAATTGACAATGCCTTGCCATTTTATCATATTTTCATAAGGTTGTAAGACCAATGTTTCGTGATCATTCGGCATATTATATACATCTCAGTTTCAGAGGGGTTTTGTCTTCATGATATTGCTCTCAATCTAAGGATATAGAGAAGATAGCAAATCGACGATCGACAAAAGGACCATGCCACGCAGACATTTTACTTGGACCTTATTCTGCAGTAAAGAAAATCCTTAAAGCGTATTAGATTCATTAATGTTCAAAGCAAACACAAAACATATACAAGTACAGCATTTAATCAGCTCGTTCCTTAAATAAAACAATAAACATGTTACAAGTTTTTGTTACGTTGTTCATGTCCTTCACAGTATGACTTACATACATTGGTTTATTTGTAGAAAACACTGGGAAAATCCGATAAGGTAAAAATAGGACAGCCAGGCAAAAAGTTTGCTGACCGTTCGAGAGGTATTTTATCATTTCCTAGAAAAACAAATGGCTGTTGACTGGAGTTGAGGGGTAACCGTTGGTAGGAGCTAAATTAAATAGTAAAACCTATCGAGGGGAATTGTAACTGGCTGTTGTAAGGAAGTAAATGTTGGCGAGATGACACCTTTAGGAGAAGTTAACGTATATTTCTAAATTTTTATATTTTGAATACTTTTATGTTTTAATGTTCCGATTGCTCTGTGTAAGTAGTTCATTTTTTAGGGTTTGGACCCCGGTGGACCTTTTACTTTGTAAAATAACTGATAACAATAAATGTTTACAATATAGTCTGTTCACTTAAAAAAAAAGTTTCAAAAGTCAGATCAAATTATTTGTTTTTTATATATGCGTTATATTTTCCGTAATTAAAGGCCCATCATGCCTAAGAAATGATTTCATTTTCTTTTCGTGAAAGTTACTAAATAACTAAATATCCTCGTCACCCTCAGCTTCTGTTACGTTTTGGCGATTAGTACAGGTATAGTGATTAAGTACTTCGTATGGAAATGCTAGTACTAATTTGTTTACATTTTACAACTTTTATGACAAATTTTACATTTTCTGCTTCTTTCTTCACTTGTTAACCATCTATTGTACTTTACAACCGTTATTTAAACGTTATACAATTCATGTTTATCTTTTCTTAAGTAGAAAAAATATTCGTTTCTGATGCATAATGTGCCTTTAATCTAAAATTGTGCTATATTTTGTTAAACACAATTTAAACTCAGCAACAAAAATGGTATATATGTAACACACTTCTTGAATACTGCATTAAAATGATTTAAAAAGTAATAACAATCAAAATAGAACTATAGAAATTGTTTGTTTATGACTTATTCATTCGTTTCTGGTTTGGATTATTCAATCTCTTTTGGAATGGGTTATTCCATCTTTTCTGGAATGGGTTATTCCATCTTTTCTGGAATGGATTATTCCATCTTTTCTGGAATGGGTTACTCCATCTTTTCTGGAATGGGTTACTCCATCTTTTCAGGAATGGGTGATTCCATCTGCCTCTTTTAGTCAAACTAAAAGATGACACGGGATCAGTCAACTTTTCTGCTCTTTCTGCGCGGCTTTTACCTGTCAATAAAAAGATTTACCACATTTTATGAAAATACAAAACATGCAGATTATTCCCATAATTCAGCTGTATTATATGAGCCGCGCCATGACAAAACCAAAATAATGCATTTGCGACCAGCATGTATCCAAACCAGCCTGCGCATCCGCGCAGTCTGACCAGGATCCATGCTGTTCGCTATCAGTTTCTCTACTTGCAATAGGGTTTGTAAGCGAACAGCATGGATCCGGATTAGACTGCGCGGATGCGCAGGCTGGTCTGATTCAATGCTTGTCGCAAACGCATTATGTTGGTTTTGTCATGGCGCGTCTCAAATATATCTATAAAGATTTAAGACGGCATATTACAAGTAATATGTTCGCAAAAGAAATATTTCAACGGTAAAGACGTCCAATTTCTTTAATTACATTCTTAAATTTGTCGTAAAACAAAAATTCAATGTGAAGATATTAATATCTTTATTATGATTATTTCATTATTACAGTGTAAAAAGCCATTTTCTATACATTTGTATAAAACAAAAAACATACTACTGTGAACATGTTTATATCTTATTTCTGACAAAATTGACCAATAGCTTACTTTGTCATTTTCTCAACAAGGTTGCTTTTTACAGTAGAAAATATAGGCAATAACCAGTTAAAAATTTCATTTTAACAGGTACATATATTATATTTAAGCAAGAATGAATGGATTTATTTTCCTTTGCAAAATGATGATCTATACAAAATGCAAAGTCTTCTTATTATCCTATTCTGATATTAAAATGACATTATGCCCATCCATGGGTATATATAGAGTGAACAGGTGAAAGTCAAAATAAGTTAACATTTTCTCATAATTCCTGTCGATTTTATAATTTACTTCACATGAACGATAAATAACTTACTATACTAGGCCCTTTGAAATATGTGTTATTATCCGTCGGAATGTATCAGTAACTTTCATTTATAAAGAGAGTAGGGGCAGTCTCTTTTATATATTAAGGTAGATTTATTTTTTACCCTAAACATTTTCAAATACATGTGTTGGTCAATCACCATTATAACGACCAGTTTATTGAAATATATGGTTAAAAAAAGTCAGTTTGACAAGGAAAAAATGAGCAGAATGTCACTTTAAAAATGCTTCTAATTCTTACGTGACGAATCACCCCAATTGAGCTTTGCCAAGCTGTTCAAGTCCCGTTCGTTGGTAACACTATATGCTAAGGACGGCTCGTCATCGTTTGGCACTGAGTCCAATTTGTCAACTAGGTATAAAATCAGTTACACATTAATTGACAGAAGATAGATGAGCTTTACCAAATGAACGCGCTCACATTAGTGGGGCGGGAAATTGAAAAATAGTGCAAATGGTGATACAAGCATGAAACTTTCAGGAAATCATCTTTAGACCACGTAGATTTCAAAAAAGAAGTGGCCCCAAAAATATCTCTGCTCATTCAAGATGGGCGCCCTTTTCAAAATGGCCGTCTTATAAATTTGACGTACATATTAGCTCATTCATTCAAATTTTTTGTAAAGACCTGAAACTTACACTACCATCTTGGATGAGCAGAGATATTTTTGGGCCCTCTTCACTGTTGGAATCTCTATGGTCTAAAGATGATTTCCTGAAAGTTTCATGCTTGTATCACAATTTGACTGTAGAGACCTTATTTCCCGCTCCATGTCTGGATACATATTAACAACCGTGATGATAGGTTAAAACTTTGTCGGCATTATATCATTTAAGGTCTTTTAATTGCCAACGATTGCTTTAAACAATAGTTTATACTAGTCTCATTTTATATGAGTCTTAATTGATATATTTGCACTGAATGAATAAAAATCATATTTCTATAGCAATATACATGTATGTAAATGTATGTATATTATTTTTTTGTTTCATGTAAAATACAATCATATATGTGATATCTATCATTATAACCGACGATCTTATTCTGTGTTTAAAATTATTTTTGGCCAATAGGATTGCACCATTTCAAATAAATTGTAGTAAAATCGGCTTTAAGTACCAGATCCTTTTGCGCAGGCAAGGCGCTGTCAATGATATGAGACCTGCGTATTTATCACACAAGTCTGAAACATGTTGATATTTTAATGCCGAAGAAAATTCTTTTCCTACCTCGCCACTTTTGACCAATTTAATTTTGTAAACACTGACCTATACATAAAGGCAAACATGAACAAGTATTTATAATGTACCATACCACATGCTGGTGGATTTTCAATCATATCCATTATATCGTCAGCTAGTTCCTTGTTTTTTGCCATGTCCTCAAAATCTACATAGTTGCAGAACCGCACTTCCAGAAACTGTTTAGTAGTTCCTTCATCCTCAAATTTACCCACATGACCTTAAAGTTTAAGAAACATATCAAAGTAATGAAAACGACCTTATAAATATTCAAGACTAGAATAAAATTTATAAATAATTAATTTGTTACTGAGTAAAAAAACCGGTCAAAGTAAAATGTCAGCACTATTGAGTGCCTGCCCTTAGCGATATAAATGTAAGTTTGGTTCACGGAAGCCAGTGGAATAATTCTTCTAGTTATGACCGAAACTAAATTTTTCCTCCACCAGTCACCATATAACGTGTGAAGATTTGGTGCGACGTGGTGGACAACTTTTAACAGCTTATTAAGCACTAAGCAATCATAATTGAGATATTTAAATGCTTGTGATGTCTTAACACTTTTGAACACGGGACGTGTAATACATTAATGATACTTCAGTTTCCTTAAAAATATAGTTTAAATGTTATTCATTACGATGTATGAACTTCATAGATATCTTGAAATTCTGCAAGATATCACGTTTCTTTATTGGTTATATGACCCGATATAAACGGTTATATTGCAAGCATCCGTTTATACAAGTCATATAATCTGTCAAACATTTACACCGAATTCATATAACACAGCAAAACTCATTTGAGAAAAATTGAATATTACTTCATAAACTGACAGCAGGTTATATAAATGTCACGTTTATCCAATGAAAAGCGACTTTACAAACATGCAATATTATCATTATTTTCTCACTTATGATTGCATTTTAATCCAGAAAAAATTGACATATATACATAATTTTTATAGACATATTTTTAGAGCCACGCCTCTTTATATTACTATAACCATATCTTTGACATATTGATTACCGTAGCTTAAATAAGCTTAATCATTGGCTCTCATACAACTTTATATTCTACATTTACTACGTAAAGTAAAAATACCCCTCCCCCAAAAAAACAACAAAAAACAAAAACAAAACACAAACACACACACACACACACACACACACACACACGCACGCACGCACGCACGCACGCACGCAAGCGCGCACGCACCCCCCCCCCCAAAAAAAAAAAAAAAAAAAAAAAAAGAAATAAAAAAAAAAAAACACAACAACAAAAAAAACAATGAAAATTGCCTATAGCTTATACTTTTATTAAAATGATTATTATTATTATGCTCTAGACTTATTATCACTAATTACAGGATTGTTAATATCTATAATCTACATAGCATTTATGTCAATTTGCGTTGATTTATGTCGTTGATAAATTTCATAAGTGACTGATAAATTTCATAAGTGACTGCTTTAAAAATACATTTCATTATTTACAAAAAAAATCTTGCAACAAGAGTTTTGATTTGTTTCGTTGGTCACAACTATTAATGAAAAAAATTAGAAATACTACAAAACAACATTTTTTCTTCAAAATTATATGTTAGACCATGTTTTAACATGGAAAAACGCGATTTTTGGGTAATTTCAGGTATTTTCATCATATCCTCTTAACCCATTACCTGATTTACAACGCCTTTTTCACATCCCTTTTTGTTGTCATAAATGGTGTAAAAAATGCCTTATTTCGGCCCCCAACACTTGTTTTTGTTAGAGAAAAGTTGTTTAAAAAATGTGGGAAGTGCCCCTCCTGTTTGGGGGCAGCCCCCCTCATCGCCAAGAAAAGTTTGGACTTGTGAGAGGCTAAAAATGACCCAAGGTCATAAGGTAGCGTATAACCAACGCTGAAAAGCCTTTGACTCTATCTAAATCCATTGAAAAGTTGCAGCACTTTGAAATCAATTTTGATGGAAAAAATCAATGCAAATAGTGATTTTTGGCAATTTTGAGATGTCCCCTCGTTGCCATGGTAACGGGAAATTTAAGACTGAGCATGTTGTTACAAAGGCAATGGTCAAGTCAACATTTGTGCCAAGGTTGATTCGTATTGAAGTAGTTTTTATAGTTTTATAGCAATTTGAACTTGTAACTTGAGAATTTTCAATGAAAACAGCCATTTTCACAAAATGCTCATGCAGTAATGGGTAAAGAGATAAAAAAACATGATATACATAACTCTTTATTATAATCATAAAATAAGTCAATTAACTAATTTTATCTTTATACTAAGATCATTGAAAAGATATTACTGTACCTGAAAATAAGTATGTATGACCGGTCTTCAATCGAACTTCGCACCCAGCAGGTCCTCCCGATTTTGTTTGTATGACCTTTTCTGCCCCTTCATATTGCTCACTGGTCTAAAATCCATAAATTTTGCAGTGCTTTAAATATTATAATTCTTATCTTCACAAAACAATAAAAATTGTTCGTATGTATCATTTTCGTTCGTTCATTTATTATTATATACTTTATTTATTTCAGTTTTTGCTTTTGTTCTTTTTTCAGTCTCTAGCATTGCCAGGTTGGTCGTTAATAGCATAATTATTTAACTACAAAACTATATTCTTTCATTTTTTTTAATTGGAAAGTATAACTTATAAAACAACATTATGCATGAATGTATCTGGTAAATATGCATAAAATTTGTAGTTTTCCCATAAACACATGCACAGATTGAATCCTATACTGTTTCTTTTCTTAAAAACGGCAGATTTTCCTACTTTTCTTTAAATAATTTCAGATTTACGCACTTATGTTTGTATTTTACATTTTTTTTTATCAATTTTCAATGTTCTTAATATTAAAGTATGTAAGTGAACCACCTATTTTCATGTCATAATAAATTGGCAATGGAAATTGAGTTATCGTTATTTTATGACATGCCGTATTAGTTTTAATTAAAGCATTATGTTACATTATTTCGCATAAATGTGTACACCATTGTTATACTTATATATACAAATTATACGTTTATAAAATAAATAATTAATTACAGAAATTTAATGTTAAAAATCGATTGGCATAAAATATCAAGACTTAAACCGTAAACCTTCTGGGACCAAACGTGATAAACCATTGTCACAAGCTAAGAGCTAGGCCAGCCTGCACATCCCTATAGTCTGACCAAGCTCAACTCTGTTCGTAGCATAAATTTGATAAAAATTGATTTTTGTTTTAAATAACTTTTTTCCAGACACAAAACTTGGCAACGCCATTAGATAAATTCGGTGGGTGAAAGGCTAAAAAGAAAGAGTTACCTTTAAGACGTTTGAAACGTTTAATCCATACCGAGAAACCGATCTCATATGTGACGTCATCTGTTGCTCATCGACAACCTTTGCAACTATTACTGGAAGAGTAAATGATTAAGATGGGTATGTCTGTTCTCTTGTCCAATCAGATAGCAGTAAATAGTCAAGAAATACATTGAAATATTGCCTTGATTTAAAAAAGATGCAATTACAAAAGACGTGATGCATCTATAAAGTAAGTATACAATTTAATAATACAATATAATCCATTGTTTTTAGCAGTAAATGGTAAACAATACATTGAAATATTTCCTTGATTTAACAAAGATGCAATACCTAAAAAGACGCGATGCATACATTTAATAAAGTAAAAAACTCTAATGATACAACTTGTTTCTAGTTCGATTCAAATAACAGGAACTTGGCAAAGACGTTTGAGAAACTATACCATAAAAATTGAAAACCACATTTCTTACAAGAAACGTATAACACATTTTAATCTAACTTCTTTATTTTGCAATTCATGGTCGTGAGCTTAAAAAAAATCTTTTCAAAACACACATAATAGTTTTTAACAAGTGACTTATACTAAATTTGTTATTATTTCTTTTTATATACCTTTAATGACCACAGAGCTTTACAGTTTCTTAGGATATTTAAATGTATATCCGCAGTATATAAGAGTTTCATACCATAATCAGATTTGCAAGCGTCTGCTTTGAGGTTTGGTTTGCAGGAACAGGGAAATACTGTAGGTAGGACAGCCAGCAATAGGATACCAGTCGGTAAAATATATGATTTATTCGCCATCTTGCTTCCTTATTAATTTGTTGCGATAGTTATAACTTCAAAATCTAAAATAGTTAAAGAAAGTCTAAGGAGAAAAATCAGTGGCCCAAAGATTGCCAGTATCTAGACGCGGGGATTTATTAGTATGTTATTATTTTATAAGTACAACAAGTCAACAGCATACTTTAAACAAGTTGCCAAATTTATAATCGATATGAAGATTATGTAATTCGTTTAAAAAAGAATCCTAACCTTACGTGCCTAAGCTTTTGTACTGAGGCGACACTATTCGATTAAGCTACAATGCGTGAAACCGAGTTAAGCAAAATTGATCTTAAAGTTTTGTCTTTTATAGCATACTTTAATCTATAAACAACAAAAATTTTCTTTCACGTTCAGTGAACTTTTACCGATATCGCTTATTACGGTATACCGCTTATAACGATAAACCGCTTATAACGATGATGTTGCCGCAGTCCCGCTTTTGTTATTTCAAATCGTTTGTCTCTCGGATCTAATGATATTCGGATATAACGATATAACTTCTGTCCTCTGAATATCGTTATAAGCGGAGTTAACTCTACTTACTGATTTTAAAACTTCTTAAAAAAACAACACATAAAAACGTAGTAAAACAAGTATAAAAAACAATAACATTTAAAAAATACTAACCAATTATCATAAAAGATTCAAACACGAGTTAATAGAAAATAACAGCAACCAGTTCAAATTAAATACACGACTTCATATCAAGAAAATATTATAAAAAATAAAATAGAGATAAAATTCTCACCGATTCTCACACCTCAATGCTTCCAAATATTTCGATTAGTTGTTTTTTTGTGTGCAATAATATTTAAAGTCCAGCAGAACTGTCACAGTTATATACGGACAGCGTTAGAAATGTTGATTCAAAATCATCAGAATCCAGCAGACTAGTGGCATTACAGTCATTATTCATGTGAGAGAGAAAAAAACTGTCATAATTTATCATAATTGTACGATTATTATAAGAATTATATAATTATATGGTATTTATTTCATTTAATACATGCTATTTATAAAATACCAAATATGCTTATCGAAATGCTAATCAGCTGAAGTCATGATAAATTATCTCTGAAATAATATATGGCCTCCTATTCCAGGATAACTTGGACGCGTGTAATGTTAGTCACTCCCTAAGCACTCAATAATATTTGGAATAGAAATGTTATATTTACAATTATTTTGTCACCATAAATGGTTTAATTTAGTAACAATAATTATGCTATTACAACATTCATACTGACATTTTGTATCACAATGCTTTTTTAACACATACATACATGTATATACATAGATAATATATATTTCTAATACTTTAAAATCATTTTATTTTCAGAGGGCATTTTTTTGCGCTAGGAAAAAAAGGTTTATTTAAATCCGCGCTTATGTAAGTTAAAGTTGTTTGAAATACATGCACAGATAAAGTTGTTCACGAAATCGTGAATTCGAGAAGTTGAAATAGTGAATTCACGAAGTTGAAACAGTGAAATCGTGAACTTGATTTCTTGAAGCAGAATTTGTGAATTCCGGATGTTCCGGATTGTAACTTAACGAAGATAAATCGGGAATTCTTTAAGTTGAAATGTCCTCACCGGTCTTTCGTAAGAAACATACCATAACGTCATTACCGAGTTTCAAGATATTGTTATAATACCTGTGGATGAAACTGGCGGGGAATTTTAGCACTGGTTGGGTTTGACCCATATAAGTAACTGTCAAACCGTTACTTGGCAAATGACATCATCTCCGTCTATCGTCAAGGAGAAATAACTCTCTTAATAACAAAATATAAACAATCACAGATGGTGTCCCTGTTACACACATGCTTTGATTTTAAATAAATTGATATCTACATGTATACAATGAAAAGGTTAAAGATAAAAAATGCTAATAGATCTACTATGTATCTTGGGGTTTAGATGATATGGAATACGTGGTATCCAGACTTTTGCCCCATTGGCTGATATTTGCCCCCTCATATCTTAATCAACCGTGGGTATTCGACGATGATTAAATGTTGTTAAGTGCAATACCAAACATTCTGTGAACGAGTACAGAGTGGTCAAAACAATGTTGAACGAGGCGCTAGCTTGGTCTGATAAACGTTTTATTTTATCGCCACATCAGCGTTGTTTGAGCCTTGTGGAGGCTGTAAAAAGTCGCCCCGTACATTCAATTAGAGATGTTATTCTGATCTTTTTTGATCGTTCAGCACGACATTATTGTTGTGCTTGTGGTAATTTAGTTCTTTCCATTCGGCTGTTTTCTTGTCGGTTGGTTCCAGTTTTCCTCATTGAATACTGTTGAATCACACTTAGGGTATGTGGCCCGCTTTTAAAATGTGTCTTTTGACGTATTATCTTTGATATGCAAGTTTCATAACATCTGATCCCCTTTCAAAATCAATTTTATTTAGTTCCGCCCACAATCTGACTAAAGTTCAGATCTACTTATTTCTTTTATGTAGATATGATGATGACAGTATATGTTTCGCCTTCTTTATAATTCGGATTTCCTGAGAAAGCTATTGTAACCATGCAATCAAACCGGTTTAAACATAGGCATTAGAAGAAGTATCAAAATACCGTTATACGTGGAATAAAACAAATTGTTGATTTTGTTAGAAAAAAAAATGTTGGAAGTAATTTTTAACAAATTACTTGAAAAAATAGAGTCAACTTTTAAAGGACAAGATTGTTTTGCCAGTTTAACTGTCGGCTATATTGACAAAGCCATGTTTGTTCTCGAAATCGTGAATATTACCTTATCTGTATTGGTTTTGCAAGGGTTAAAATTAGAAACCACATCGCTTTGGAAATTATGAAAGCTCGCCGATGACTGATTGTGTGAATAGTCATCATAATAATTTCGTATATGGTCACGCTCAGATCTAGAGCATGATTTAGAGCTGATTTTAATCATATTGGTTCCGCCAATTGTTTTCTCGTTAAGGGCAAACGCATTTTTTACTTAGGGACCATATGCCGCTTTTCATGGAATGGCACTGACATGTAACATTGAGGGTTCCGTGATAACCGCCATATGAACACATCTGCGGATGTTTCAAAATTCCAAATTTTACCAGTTCATTTTAAATGTTGAATACTGCTTAAGCCGGTGCTAGGGGGCGTGGACGGTAACTTGCACATTCCATTATCGTCCATGAACAGGCTCAATCAAACCGAGTCTGAAACATTTTCAATTTTTTCGCTTTGTACATTCTTTAGGGATTCTTTATTTCTCTCTATTTTATCGCCACATCAGCGTTGTTTGTGTCGTGTGGAGGCCCGTAAATACAATCAGGGATGTTATATTTTCGATCCTTAAAGATCGTTCAGCACGACATTATTGATGTGCTTGTGGTATTTTAGTTATTTCCATTCGGCTGTTTTTTTCCGGGTTGTTTAAGCATTCCTCACTTGAATACTGTTGAATCAGCCTTAGGATATGTGACCTGCTTTTTAAATTTGTCTTTTGACGTCTTATCTGTAATATGCATGCTTTATAACCTCTGATCCCCTTTCAAATTCCATTTTATTTAGTCCTGCCCTTGTTTTCTTGTTATAGACAAACGCATTTTTTACTTGGGGACCATATTTCGCTTTTCATGGAATGGCACTTACATATCACATTGAAGGTTCCATGATAACCGCCATATGAACACATCTGCGGATGTTTCAAAATTCCAAATTTTACCAGTTCATGTTGAATGTTCAATACTGCTCAAGCCGGTGCTAGGGGGCATGGAAGGTAACATGCACATACCATGAACAGGATCCAATAAAGAATGCTATTGGAACAGCACGTGGTGCAAACGCTGAAAATTCATTGTTTGTATTTTATAGCATGTGAACTAAAATATTTTTCTTCATCATCTTCTTTTTAAAATACGGCTAATGGTTCATCATCATCATCATCATCATCATTATCATCATCATCATCATCATCACCACCACTATCATCTACCTACAGGTCTATGTAACTGTATGTCAACTTTCATACTCAATATTTTCTCAAGATGCAAAAGTTGTCAATGCGAAGATCATCGAAAATAAAACTGTTTAATGCCTAACAGTGAAACGAAATTGAAAATCAAACGAAGTTCATGAATCCAGTGCGATTTAACATTTTATTAAAATATACAGAGCAACTCTATGTCTGTGACGTAATAGTTTGACTTTGAATCAATCAATTAATGACTCTTTTTCTAAAAAAAACCTCAAAGCTTTGAGCAGTAGGAAACATTGGTATCCGGGTCGTCAATAACTTTGAATTATCGCTCTTATATGGATTAAGGCGTCGGTTAGCACAGATAACAACACACATTGTAAGTGTGCAAAACCTGGATGTGCGATTTTGTGATAAATGGGGTTAAAACTGAAAACTATTATTTTCATTTTCCACAGATTTCGATGACTTTGGAACGATTTTATCAATATGAACATAACTGCATTACTGCTATGTTATACGTGCCGTGTTTATAAATGAAACAAGAACAATATTTATTGATTTTTTTGTTTATTCCTCTAATTAAAAAACATATTCAAAAATGCATTTTGTTAAAATGAAAGACAGTGTCGATGTAACAAAAATCTAATCATTATAATAACAAAAACGTTCAGGTAGATTATGTACACGAATAAGTTAAAGAACTGCTATAAAATACCATAATAATAACAATAAAAGATGAAATGATAAAGAATATGTCAGTATTAGTTGGAACCAGTATTTTGAACTATCCTCGGTTTCCAATATACATCAATATTATCCCATCTGTCGTTATATCTTGGATTTAAAGGTTGATTATCTATAAAAGAATATGGCACAAAACCGCGCCTTGTCAACATTTTTACCATCCACTGGATATTTTGCTCTGGACATGCAACACCAGGTTGACTCTTAAGGTTTTGCATGCCCCTCCATTCCATGGTGATCAGTAGAACCTTGAATCTGTTAAATATATGTTCTGATCTCTCAAGTACTCGACACTCATGGCCTTCTGCAAAAAATGAAAACATAAACTTAAATACTATAAATAACAGAATAAAAGATGTTGTTCAAATTCGGTAAAGATTTTTTTCCATTTGTGTATTTAAGAGCAAGAAATAATAGGTTTGGTTAACAACGAGAAGTCAGTATGCATGCTATAGATGTTCCTTAGATGTAAGAATTGGTAAGTTTTATGCCAAGAACGTTCAAGAACTGTTAAGAATAAAGTAGCATTTGTTTAGACACGGGAAAGACGTATAGACATAAAATCAACAGTCAAGATCATCACTAAATGGTTTAATTTTAGAATAAAACATAATGTATTACCTTATGTTTGAAATATGGAACTATAAAGGACTTTCCAGTTCGGAAAAATTTAAAATATTTCAGGCTCAATATGTTATACAAGATTAATGATATTTTTTATTATAATATATAATGGACACGGACGAACACAATAGTTTATGACAACAGGTGTAAAATCTAGAGGCATCAAAAATGAAATCAGTCATAACCAGTTTATAATGAATAAAACATACCAATATCCAGTTTCAAAACAATATATGGTGTAAATATTAAATCTGCCAAGTCATCCAAGAGAATACTTTTGACTGTTACAGATTCAGTCATATTTAAATGTTCGCTATCAGATACAAGTCGGAATGTCCCTTTATTTGTACGATTACTCACATCCATTTTGACTGTTCGTCTTTCATTGGAAACAGCATTATTAAGTACTGTAATATTGTTTTCAAACTTATTTGCATGGATAGAACTTGTCAGTTTTTGTATATGAAGTATTGTTGGTTCCACTGATATCACAGATTGCCCGGCAGCTGCTGCTAGTAGGCTGAAGTATCCAATATTTGCTCCAATATCAAGAAAAGTTATTGGCCTATCTTGACTTAATATGTTGTAAAGCAGACGTGTTATTGCACCTTCCCATTGGCCATATTTGAGTATATCGCCTGAAACATATATATCTTCCATTTTGCTATAAGTACAAATTATGAAACGCTTTGGCGTCGTAGTTCTCACACATGAGTTCGGATCAAACACACTTGGTTTCGAAATGTCATATATATTAACAGTGCGGGAAAATTGTTGTTTCTGATCATCTACTGCCCCTTTTGGATCGTCTTCGTCTTCAGGTTGCATATATGGAAGTTTAGAAACATGTTTGAGAATACTGTCATTTGGCAATTTTGGTATTTCGCTCTCAGTATTATCTGATTGTACTAATATATGTTCACGAGGATACGTTGAATCTAAAGGTTTAGGTACTTGTCTCTGAAGGTTCAAAACTTGGTCTGATTGAGGCATTTGATTTTGGCCTTCCTGATAGTTTTCTGTTTTGCCTCGATTTTTAAAATCTGTAAAATTCACTTGTTGAAAATACTGGCTTAATGATGATTCTTCGGCCCTGGCGTATTCAATGAGGTTGCTTTTACTTGAGGGGAAATACACAATAAGAGATGATATCATACCTGAAGTAATAAAACGAATAATTGGATAAGAACATAAGTCATTTTGTGCAGCCTAAAATTATAAAATTTGAATAATTTCTTAAATAGATCAGCTTGGGCACTTAAATGGAAAGTTATTAAAAAAGAAACAAATTAAGAAATTTACTCGGAAATAAAGTGAAAATCGTATTTGATACTTTTCACAGCCGATTTGAGTGAAAACTGTTGCAACGCCATTTATCTTTTGGTCATTATTCACAATTAGATGTTGCACATACGTTACTAATCTTAAAAATGCAACACAATTGTTGTCCCTTTAAACTGAAGGTTTAAAAGACGAATATTTATGCATGTATTTCATGACAAGCGACAAAGGTATATGAAATAATGCAGTCGCATTCGTTATTACACCTCTCATTACGTCTAACATTTAAATATATGCTGGATGTAATTAGATTCATGTCATCATGTCATGGCCGACAGATACATCGTGTAAAGAGTCTTTGTCCTTTTTGTTATTTCAATTGACATTTTATTAATTAATGTATTTATGTATTTATATATTTTTTTCACAATAATTCTTTAAGTTTTTACTATAAGCAGTAAATTTAATTTCCCATTTTAAAAAAAGCTGTTAATAAAGTGTTAGAGATGTTGCACTTCTCATTATTTATTCGGAGCAAACTCTGCAATTTTAGCTATTTGTGTTTGTGGTCATTGCTTCTAAGGGAAACTATCATTTTTGAGAATTATCTGCATGTCATGTGTACATTTAATAGTATGTAAAGTACAAATATATACCATTGTTTACATTTAATAAGAAAACGTCTAAATCCTGAAGTTACTTAAACGCCATAACTACAAATATCCGTAAAGACCGTAACAGCCAGTGCGTGCGTGCGTGCATATACGTGTAATATTGTTTCGAAGAGCGGACTGTTGTTGTTGTAGCATGTTTAGATTCTGTGTCTTTATGATCTAAAACACACGTAATACACTTTTTTAAAAAAGACCAAAATATTTTGTTTTCACTAAAACGCCAAACAAATTATGTGAATCAGGTTCATTGTACCACGTTTCTGTAAGACGTTGTGTCAAAGTGACACTAAATCTAACAACTTTAAAATATAAGTGCTATAGGCATTAAATAAACTTAACACGATAGAACATTCTTACCTGCTAAAAGCAAAAAACATAGAACCATTCGTTTCTTTTTAGCGTAAATCACCTGTGTTGATGTTGCCAATTTCATTTTAACTTTATCTTTAACACTGCTGCCTAATTTACTTAATTATTACATAGTTTATTCCTGAACAAGTTGTGTGTGTATATAATGTATATATAACACACATCGATCAAATGGTAAATGTACACCTGAACATGCATCATGCACGTTGTTGTTGCACATGGTTGCGGTACGATTGTCAAAAACCTACTACGACATGATGTATGCTAATTAAATACTTTCATTGTAATGTTAAACAATAGCTTAAATAAGATTACGAATGCTAATTTTATGTTTCCTTGTTAATGTAGATTTCATACGTAATATATGTTTCTTGTTAGGGGGCAGTTTGTTCTGAATCAATTCATTAAATCTATAGAAATGATCAATTCGTACACTTACAAAATTGATAACACAGTTTATAGTAGCAAATGTCTCACAACTGTGGAAAATCAATATTTTTTCTAGTTGAATATTTCTTTTAATTTTTTAATATGATTACTTCAATTTTATTAGGGTTGTGCATTTGGTATATTATGCCATTCACATGAATAACTGGTTAATTATGCTGAAATGGGATCTACGTGGCCGAGTAGTTTCGGTTGCTGACTTCAAATCACCTGTCTCTCACAGTTGTAAGTTTTAATCCCGTCAAGCACTTTGGGTTCTTTCATGTGAATGAGCTATTCAGCCAGTTTACAGAAGCTCGGTTAATGCGGTTGTATAACAGCGTTACCGTCACTTCATTCACGCGGTAATTTCAACGCATAAACATGGGAACCACGTTTATGATGTAGCGCGCTATGCTGTAATTAAAATTGATTATATGGGGCGCAACTGCGCCTTTTTGCCGCAAACAAGACTTTCTAATTATAATAATTAAAAAAATAGTATTTCAACTGAAACGATGATGATGATAAAATCTTACTCATGATGATTGTGATGATGGTCATGTCGATAATGATAATGGTGCTGCTGATGATTATGATGAATATGATGATGATGTTGTAGATGATAATGGTGATGGTTATGATGATGATGATAGTGGTGGTGATGATGAAAATGGTGATGAAAATGATGGTGATCGTGTTGGTGATGATGATAATGATGGTGATGATAATAGTTGTGGTTCTCCTGATGATGATGGCCGTGGTGGTAATGATGTTGATGGTGATGATGATAATGGTAGTGGCTACGATGATGATCGTGGTGGTGATATTTTCTAATGGTGATGACAATGGTGGTGGTTATGATGATGATGGTGGTGTTGATGATGTTGATGGTGATTATAATGGTGGTTTATTTTTTTATTATTCAACTTTTAGTATTTTGAGCATAACTGTTTAATTACATTTAATTTTTATTGTCACACCATCACAAACATTACTGAATAGTGTCTGTCGGTATTTATAATACATGATGTAGAAAAGTCTTCTGAACTTGTTTAATGAAAATGGTCCGAATGTGGAGATATATAAACTTTCCTGCACACAAGACGTGTCGATAATTGATCAGACACTTAAAATATTATGAAATAGTGTCATTTTCTACGAAAGGACATGAGCACATATGTATTATATAAAACTGTTTTAACCGCTTCGCTTAAGCTATGTGTCGACAAAGAATTGAGAAATGTTGAGTTGTACGGACTACTAAACATTTATGTTAAACGTTTGCGTACTTCTACGGTGTTTGCGTCACATTCCTCTATACTTATATGTGGTCAGCTATTGTCTTTAGTTCACAATGCATAACTCGAACTTGGTTTGACAAATTATAGAATACTACTGTCAAGTTCTACGCATATGTAATGGAATAAGGTCAACTGAGTTTTACAGTTTTCTATTAACTCAAAGTCACGCATAAAAAGTGGTCTAGCAGGAAGGATAAGGTTTTCACCCATTAATATCCATCTTGCGTATACCTTTTATAATTCAATTTAACATTTTTTATCATGTTTCACACTCGCTATACACCCCGTTCACAACCGTACGCGTTCTAGACTCTAAACACAAGGCATGACCGTTTACCGCTTAAAGCAGTTCGATTTGAGTGATGACCACTCACATACAAGTAGAAGAAAGTCCATATTTTATACTAAAAACGGATTTTGATACAACAAATGCGTTTTGGACCTGATTAAGTAGTAAATATCGACATCATTCGCAAATTTCAACAAATAAACTACAATTTGCCGCCAATTTAACAAAATTTATTCAATTTGCAGAAAAAAGCAAATTCTGCTTCTGAAATTTATCCACTTTTCTTAAGCTATGTGTCGACAAAGTTCTCAATATTTTCTGACCACACAAAATTGATAAGTTTAGAAACATCGATTAAGTTATGATTCATTTGAGCGTGTGGCCCTTAGGTATTTTTGATTCAAAGTATATCTCTTCTGAAAAGTAAACTGCCTTAAATATAAAACACAAGCTATCGGCTCTTGTGATAAATATATTAAACCACTGAAGCTACACGTAATCATTTAGCTGTATTTCCATACACCGTAAAGGTGTTAATTACTTTATAACAAATGGTTTCATTTTACTACTATACTTATGACTTTAATTCAAGGTAAATGTACTAAAAAATTTAACAAAAACTAATTTTTCTAAATAAAGGGCGAATACTCTTAACAGAGAATTCTTTGGAGAATATCACTGGTTGTTTACCTTTACATTTTTATAGATTGGATTTCAATTATATTTGACCATGCTATTTAATTTACGATAAACACATATTAAACACGATTTTTAGTTTTGAAGAGAATTAAAATTAGATAGTTGACAAAATCAATCCAAACTTCACCCTTCTCAATATGTTTTGATCAGTTATGGATATCTTGGCAGGCAGAACTGACAATTTTTCAAACAGAAGAAAATGGTGTTCCTTTGTTGATATGATACAGTATCATCATGTGATACAATATGATTCGATACAATACGATATCATATGATATCTGGTCATTATTTCGACACAAAATATAGTTCAAAATACTATTAAAGGGACTCCACTGAGGTCTTTTGACATGATTGGACTGAAAATATTTTTTCCAGATAAACGTACCATTTGATGTAGGTTTAGACCACTTATCTTTGTGCAAAATTTCAGATCATTCGCGCACTTCGTTTTTCCAGAATAATTATTCAAATTGTAAAAAAATGACCCAAAATGAAAAGCGTTTAAACGCTTTTCACTCAAATCGGGCTAAGAAAAGCATAAAAATACGATTTTCAATTTATTTCAAAGTATTTTTCTTATCTATCTTTGCATATATTTCTGTTTAAAGTGCCCCAGCTCATTTATGTAAGAAATTCAAATGTTATGTTTTTAGGCTTTCAAACCTCAGTGGAGTCCCTTTAAGGATATTTTAGCAAAAATGGCGAGGATACCGAAACAACCGTTATTACAGAGAAGCTCAAACAGTTGATTTTATGAATGTAGGTATTTATTTCCATATTAATATATTCTTTATTTTCTTCTGTGACTCATACTGACATTTTGATATTTTGTAGTAGTTATGTTAACTGCTTACCATACTTTTCTTATGTTATGTAAATATGTTATAACCGCCACGGTAATTTGGCGATGAACATGTATTTGTTTTTGCCAATAAAATATTTGACTTGACTTGACATCATAACAGCGGTATTACACAAATGGTTTGATAAACTGCCAATTGCGACAGTATTTTCAACAAAATCATGTGATATACTAACCAAAAACACTCTGCGGCGGTATTTCAACAGTATATCATAGTTTTAGAGTTTAATCGTATACATACATATACATGCACAGTGCGTTAACTTGAGTGCAGGTTTTAGTTACCCGCACTCCAGAGCTTGCCCATTTGGTTTCCTTTTATAGTATAGTACATGTGTGTAATCAATAACCCACGTGAATCGCCATAAATTCTATAAATATCTTTCGTTATTGTTAAAATTGTTAAAGTTCAGTTGATAAAAAGAATGGGGTCTGTTTATGTTTCAGGCAGTTATTATATTTTATCCTCGACATTTTTTATTATCACATGGTTAGGGATATTTTCTTTCTTCTTATATTTGGCGTCCGCGCCGAAGCGCGGCGCCCTTTATGGAATGAGAAAAGGCGACAGCAACTTCTCGAGCCTTTTAGTTGGTCATAATAAAAGCCGATCATTCCGATCGGTATGATGGTGCTTAACAATGAAATGTCGCGATATGTACAATGAATAGCGAACTGGAGAATTTCGCAATGCAAACATTTTCAAATGAAATAACATTTTCTGTCTCTCCGGTTTTTGTATTTTCTGATCGCAAGATCAGTAAATACATAGCTAACATCCACGTTCTAACACAAATTTTCCTCACAGACCTAACAACGCAAATTAGTTCTCACTCAAAACTGCTTAAAAACCAGCAATTTAAAAGAAAGAATAATTTTTAATATAGACATTTTACGAATTAATGGCATTAAAAGTTTAGATTAGTTAATAGAAATATGAGTTTACAATCACAAATTTCGCGGATGAATATCTTTTTTACTCAATGAATAATGTTCGACTATTTCCGTAAAGAATAATCAATGAAAATGCTATTTTTAGCTATGTCGATTACCGAATACTCCAGAGCGTAGTACACAAATAAATCTGACTGTTGAGTAATGGAATATATACATGTCGGACTGTTTTGGCGAGAAGATTTTCGCTAAATTATTTTCATCAGTGTTTAACAACAGGTTTATCGTGAACATAATACCTCGAAATTAATAAGGATTACAAATACGAAATGAAAATTCTCAATTTTAGAATTACAATATATTTGTTTTTATTCACGCTACATACGTATTACTTCACTGTGGTGCAGAGGTAGCGCGCTCGTTTAGGGTGTGAGAGGCTAAGGTTAAAATCCTTGTCGAGGCAACATTTTTTTTGAAGTGTTTTTTTAATGAAGTAGCAACGATATGCAAGGATAAAGTGTGGCTGTGATAAAAAATGAAAAATGATTTTTGATGCAACTCTAGGCATGCAAAATTCCATATGTATCAATCACAAACTGTTAAACGCAGTCGCTGCGTAAGATGAATAATAGTATATAAAAATAAACTTATACAGGAAAGATCAGAAAATACCACAGAGCATGCAGCCCTTTGATTTTTATTGTACACAGGGTAATTATTGGCGTCCGCGCCGAAGCGCGGCGCCTTATGGAATGAAATGAGATTTTGTGAAAGGGCGACAGCAACTTCTCGAGCCTTTTATTCGGTCATAATAAAAGCCGATCATTCCGATCGGTATGAGGGTGCTTGATTATTATAAAGTTGCGATATGTACAATGAATAGCGAACTGGAGAATTTCGCAATGCAAACATTTTCAAATGAAATAACCTTTTCCGTCTCTTCGGTTTTTTTATTTATCATTTTTAGTACACAGTGGGTTATTATGGTATGGTAAAATACAATAATGAGTTGATGATCTAAAAATTTATTGATTATACATAAACATACAATTCGAAAAAAAAACCAACAACAACAACAATAGCATGTTTATTTTATCTATATGTGATAAAAACAATAAATATGTACAATAATTGAGAAAAAAGTTACATTTTATTTAATTTGTTACTCGTGTTTAGTAAAGATGCCGAGGAATTATTCAAAGTTACAAATTAGATTTTATGAATTATTCAATCGATTGATAATTTAAAAAACGATAAAGAAAAATACCAATGTGCCTGTACATGGTTTAAGAATAAACAATATTATATTTTGAAACATTAACCATAATTTACTGACTTTTTCCAGTTTAGTTTTGACTTATCATCGTCGGTCAATATGACAATTGAATTCTTAAAATTTATTTTACAATTTTAATAAAAAAAGAGTAGTAATCATAAAAAAACTCAGTATTAAAATAGCACATAAAACACAAAAAAGAGAGGGAAACAATATTCATAAAATCTTTATTTTTATATTAAAATAGATATTACAATTATTGTATAATAAACAATTATGCTCAACATGATCAACATGGTAATATAACCAGTATCATATTTTTACTAAGTGTGAACAGATACCTTAAGAGGGGGTCTTCGCTAATAGCGATAACATAATAAGGGACAATTCCACAAGTGTCGTGTTGATCGTGAGTTACACATATGGATTATAAATGATTGTATACATGTATATCCGTTGTTATTAATAATCACGATCATAAAGAAATAACAAGTAATATTCTAATCTCTAGCATGCCAATCAAAGTTCATAATGAACAATGTCTATCGTCTGTTCATTCTGGTAAAAACAAATTAACCATTGAAAAGTTTATAAGAATATCTTGTCATCATATGTCTACTAGTTCATCTTCACTTTCTGCATTTCTTGCTTGGACGCCCTTTGATGCTTTGCATCAATGCTTTTCTTGTTAATAAACTTTAAATGGTGATTTGAAAACTGTATCGAAATAACAGGGTTTCTTGTAGGAGAGAAGAATCATAATTATAAGAAACAAATCAACTGATATAAATAAAACGTTGATTTTTTTGCACCTGCTATATAACTGTATCGAAATAACAGGGTGCTGTTTTTTTATTCTTGTAGGAGAGAAGAATCATAATTATAAGAAACAAATCAACTGATATAAATAAAAAAGTTGATTTTTTTGCACCTGCTATATATCAGTGTAATTTTGTTTACAGAGGTTAGGATGCATGTAGTAGTCTCATTGGCCTCCCGTGCATCAAAACAGTTTTATCACAAAAATCGACTTCCATAAATATTTAGTATCAAAAATTTATAGGTCGACTTTTGATTGACATTGACATGTCTGGGTTCCGTATTCTCAGTGCCTGAAAGGACGAAAGGACGGATGGACACTCATTAAGCCAAGATACATGCAAGTAATAATTTATATGATATGTTATGTGCGATTAATGACTGATTTTGAAGTATTTATTGTCACATTTCATCTACATGATTTACACAGTAAAGACTATTTTTTTTTGCATATTTTGACATCACTATTAAATGTAGTAATTACCTAATTACAGATGATAGGGGACGTTTTTGAAATTAAATTACATTCTTTGTTCACTTACCAATATTTTATTTTTAAATATATGTTCAAAATTTTCATGAAAATTAACACGAATCTATAAAGGCATGCTGCTTTAAGAACATCTGATTGAAATCTCATTCAACCATAAAGTTTTGTTTACCATTTAAAACTGTCACCAACGTTCACATTCTAAAAGATATTTCAATATTGTTTTACATCAGTAACTTTTAAAATCAGTTTATGGTACAGTAAATATTTGTTAAGGCCTTTAATATAGTAAAAACGCGAACTTATAATATCGTAAAATGGAGATACGAAAAATTTGCGTTCAGGTAAGTGCAGCGTTTTTTAAACAATATTTCTGATTTTTTTAACTGTCCGTATGGACAAAGCAATTATAAAGTAGTAATAATTGTCTCAGTAACTAATGCTGTATTTTTTACATAATTCTAAGTATACAAATACATTCACAAAACAGAAAAAAAAACAAAAAGATTGTTGTTTGTTATCGGACAAAATCTAAAACATCTTAAATAGTTGATATTTTGGTTGAGTGATCTGTGTTATAACATAGCACGGTACGGAGATTAGATGCGTAGTTCAATTCAAATATCTTTATTCACCCAGGTATTAATAAAATACATAAGGGGTTTACAAAATGACATTTTACAATATATATGTTCCGGTTGTAAAGTCCTGAAAAGAAAATGCAGTATTAATAGTCATTTAGTTATTATTAAACAGAAATATAAAAAAATATTGTACATTTGTAATGTTTTAAAGAAAGAAATTCAATCACGAAGGTCATATGCCTGGATGATTAATTACAAACATCTGAACGACATACCGTGATATATGTATAATACAGGTGACTCAAAATCAAGCTATGTTTCCATTCTAACACGTAAAGGAAAATGAAAGTAAAACGCGACGGACTAGGATTCGCTAAATAAATAATGGCGTAGACGGTTTCAGTCCGAACTATCCGGCATGTCTCTGGCCCGAACGATCCGGCATGTTTCTGGCCCGAACGATCCGGCATGTCTCTGGCCCGAAAGATCCGGCATGTTTCTGGCCCGAACGATCCGGCAAGTCTCTGGCCCGAACGATCCGGCATGTCTCTGGCCAGAACGATCAGGGCATATTTCTGGCCCGAACGATCCGGCATGTCTCTGGCCCGAACGATCCGGCATGTCTCTGGCCCGAACGATCCGGCATGTCTCTGGCCCGAACGATCCGGCATGTCTCTGGCCCGAACGATCAGGCATGTCTCTGGCCAGAACGATCCGGCATGTCTCTGGAACGAACGATCCGCCATGTCTCTGGCCCGAACGATCCGGCATGTCTCTGGCCCGAACGATCCGGCATGTTTCTGGCCCGAACGATCCGGCATGTCTCTGGCCCGAACGATCCGGCATGTCTCTTCCAGAACGATCCGGCGTGTCTCTGGCCTGAACGATCCGGCATGTCTCTGGCCTGAACGATCCGGCATGTCTCGGGCCATGTCTCTGGCCCGATCGATCCGGCATGTCTCTGGCCCGAACGATCCGGCATGTCTCTGGCCCGAACGATCCGGCCGGCAAGTATCTGGCCCGAACGATCCGGCATGTCTCTGGCCCGAACGATCCGGCATGTCTCTGGCCCGAACGATACGGCATGTCTCTGGCCCGATCGATCAGGCATGTCTCTGGCCCGAACGATCCGGCATGTCTCTGGCCCGAACGATCCGGTATGTCTCTAGCCCGAACGTTTCGGCATGTCTCTGGCCCGAACGATCCGGCATGTCTCTGGCCCGAACGATCCGGCATGTCACTGGCCTGGCATGTATTAATATTCCACAAATATCGACTTCTAAATCGAATTCCAATTAATTCTTATCAAATTCACATTGATATGGAAGTCAAAACGTTTTGTCAAAATGACAAAATATGGTGTTGTAAAATAAAGATGTCATTATACAATGATGAGTACAATATTGATTTTATATGGCTCGTAAAATGGAGCAATACCTTTATAAGAATCGGCCAGTGCCTCATCCGATATAGGTTTGACAGCTGTGGAGTAGTCCAGTTTAATTCTGTATTGTACTAATTAGTTTATATTAACCTCGTATTATTTTCTTTCTTACTTTAGGTTAAAGGTAGAAATTATTTTCAGAAAATACATCTAACTTAGTTTGATGAAAACAACAACATACTATTACATGATGATTATGTTACTTTCAGATTTTTCTTGCCGAGCTCACAATAACGCCAGTATTAGTGATTTCATATTTGTATGTTATAAAGATGCGACCACAGTTATCACCGATGCAAGAAATTCAGTTCAAATATCAAAACGGGTTCTGGAAGAAACGTATCCTCACAAATGCTATACAGTATAAAAGTGGTCGTGTTTTATCAGATGAGAACCTGGAAAATATAAAACTTCTCAGTGTTAATCAGTGCAAAAACCGTAGATTCCTTGTGTATAAATGCGACGGAGCGAGTCTGTGTGGGGGTACGGGGGATCGTCAAAAAGGCATTGTATCAGCTTTTCTTCTATCTCTTCTAACAAACAGGACCTTCATTGTGGACATGACGAAACCATGCAATATAGAAACAGTTTTACAAGTCGGTGTATATAATTGGTCCTTATGCAAAGGATATATTAAAACTCTTCCTAAGCAAGATATCATGAAACTGAATTTGTTGTTTGGGAACAGATCGGTTGCTAAACAAATTGAAAACATTGATTTTGATAGCCAATGGACAGCTAAAGTGGTATTATTTCGATGTAATTCTTTGCTTATTGACAAAATAAGACGTCATAATTATACCGAAACGAGGCTTAATTGGTTACAAAATACCACTAACGAAGAAACTATTCACAAAGTATTACATACGCTGTTCCAGCCAAATCAAAGAATACTCGAGGACTTTGTGAAGCTGTACAACAAACATGTCCATGGAAAGAATTTAGTGTGTAGCCATATAAGAATAGGAAAGAACCCAACCATTCCTAAGGATGAAAAGTTATTGAGAGGATCACCGAATGTAACGAGAATACTTGAATTTTTGAAAAGGTATGATGACCCTAAGAAGTACACTATCTATATAGCGACTGATTCAGACTCAGTTAAACAAGATGCTAAATCAAATTTAACATCTTACGTTAATATCAACAGACCAATTGTGCATGTTGATAGACGTATGAATGAGTCAGTAGCTGAGGCTTGTGAAGGACTTTATACAGGAATTTTTGAACAGTTTATTCTATCTCTTTGTGACACGCTTGTATTGACTCGTAGTAGTTTTGGATGTATGTCCGCTTACATGCGAGGAGTTCAGGATAACATTTTTCTTTACAACCCGAATCTTCGAAAAGTTGGCCAATACAATTTGACAGAAATTCAAAGAGTTTTTAAACTTGTCTAGAGGGAGTTGCAAGAAATAATCGATAAAAATTGTTCATCTTTATCCGGTGTTGTTAGATATTTAAAGGATTATGTATGATTCTGTTTTAGCACTTGAATTATAAAACAAATTTTATTTGTGTAATAGTTGGAGAAAATTAGTGTGATAATTTATAGTTTATCAAACGGATTCGCCCAATGAATAGTCAATTCATACTTAAAGGGATTTCAAAATTTGAGTAATAAACAGTTCACAGCCTGATAAAATTGCAGGCTGGTCTGGCGCTAAACTTGTGGGGACAGCTGATCACTTTCAGTTCGAGCAGGAAAAAAAAGCAATATATAACTGAATCTATACAAGAGCTGAGACGTTATTGCTCTATTTTATCTAATTGTTTTGCAGCAAACACTTTTTTCCTTTCCCTAATGATTAAAATGAAGTACATTCAAGCTTAAATATAATCCTACAAAATAGGAATTAAGGTAAATCTTTATATCCACTGCGATATCATGATAATTATTTTAATATTTTAAAAGAAAACTTCCAAAATGCATATATGAAAGAAATATTGTAATAAAATAATTAAAATATCAATGGCGCATTCAAGAAATCATTGGTTAACGATAAAACCCCTACTTAAAATAGCAAGAAAAAGAAGAAACGACAGGACAACGTACCGGACGTTTTTTCTTTTTAAACGCTTGATAGATTTTATTAAGTTATAAAGTATGTTTTATTTTTGTAACATGAGAAATCTTTAGAGATGCGTGTATAATATTCGCATACATCGAAAGAATATTTTCTACTCTTTTCACATATTCGTTGATTTCATTATACTTAGTCACCTAAAAGCCACATTTTATACTTCCTTATGCGTGGGTTTTAAAGCGATCATGGTGTATAATCAATTTGCAGACATAGTTTACGATACGAATCGTGAACACAAAGAACATAATGTAATATACATCTTATTTGACGAATAAAGTAAACGAAAATAATGCTGTAGCTATTGATTCTGAAAGCGGCTGAAATAACAAAATCTTGTGTTATTAAAAAATATTGCATGATGGTACGCCTTTTATAGCTTATTCGTCTGCGAAGCAGCTGAGCCTTATAATTATGATTTAGTGAAAGAGGCATGATTTACTGCGGAATGACATGATTTATTTTGAGAGTCGTCAGTAAAGATATAAGTACAAAAAACATTCACATACATCAGCTATACACTTCAAGACCTATTTTAAATTTCTTGCTTTGCTGCAACACATTTTAAATGTATTTTCTTCAAATGGAAAAACGATGTTTTCTTATCTCCGTGTACAAATAGTGAACTGTGCAACTGTCTGATTTGGTAGTTAACCGAAACTTAATATCGTGGGACCAGACTAAAATGAAATGAGCCGCGTCATGACAACACCAACATAATGTGTTTGCGACCAGCATGGATCCAGACCAGCCTGCGCTGATCAGGATCCATGCTGTTCGCTATCAGTTTCTCTACTTGTTATAGGTTTTGTAAGCGAACAGCATGGATCCTGATCAGACTGCGCGGATGCGCAGGCTGGTCTGGATCCATGCTGGTCGCAAACGCATTACGTTGGTTTTGTCATGACACGGCTCAAATCAAGTCTTCACCTAAAGGGGAACTGTTTTGTATTTGGACAAAACGCATCGGTGTATATGTGTGAGCTATTGTATTGCAATGTCTAGTAGATGACCGAATCCAGTATACTTATTTTCATGTCGTTGGTTTTTTTTCAATAATATGTTTAATAATAATTTATATCAAATTTATTTTTCTTAAAAAAAAAAGTACTCGCTTTCTTATTTTTTCCTCGTTGAAACAGTCTCAGTTGAAATAGGGCGTTATTATTAAGATTTTCTTTTCTTTCTTTTTTCATTCTTTTCTTTGTTTTGTTTTGTTTGTTTTTAGTAATATATTTCTTATATATTTTTCTTTCATTTTGTGCAACTATCAAAGCATATGATGTGAGCATTCACCTATTACTTGAGTGACAGAACTTATAACTGGACTTACGTCTGTTTAAAGTATCAAATTGTTGTAAGAATCAATTATAATATTAATATAATTCAGTTATTTTTGCAATTTCCAATTTTTTCATATTCTAAAGATGTTTCTGTTTTTACAGTTTCAGTTAACCACGTTTAACCCCGATTTATCCGAATATCGCACAAAAACTCTTTAATATGCAGTAAAACTTAGCCTTCAACACTTGATCCGTGAAATAAATGATATGTTTATTTTTATACTTTGTCAATTATATTATCCATATCAATATAGAATCTATATATCTGTCATACTATATTTGATGTACGACTGTTTAAATCTCCCATTAAATGTATTTTCATATCATTTAAAATTCGATTCTATCTTTATATAAAAATAATCAAAATTTTCTGTACCAATTACTGTAACTGTAGCAGGAGTAATATATTTTTTTCTAATTTATAAATTTCATGAATTCCAAAAAGAATGACCCTTACTGTGTGTGCTGTGTTTTTTTTACAGAGGTTAGAATGGGGTGGTGATATAAAACATTCCCAGTAGCAAAAAACATAGAGTTATAGCTGGTGTTGGTTCATTTTTAAATAGAAATTTTCATTTACCTTATTTCAACTGTAAAATTTGTTTTTTACTGCAGTGAAACATATTTTTGGCATTTTTACTGGTTGATTACTTTTTTTCTAAATTCAGCCAATATACAAAATTTAAGGCAAACACTTTCAATTGCAATGTCAGAAAAATAGAAAATGTATATGATTTACAGAAAATTCAAGTTTTTTTTTATAAATACAGGATTTATTTTCATCTTGTGGTATGAAAATTTATCATATTTCACTCGTGGCTACCGCCACTCATAATATATACATATTTTCATACCACTCGATGAAATTAAATATCTATAGACAAAAACCCTGTATCTATAGACAAAAAAGTTTAATATCCTCTGTATATTTGACATTCAATGTGTAAAGATTCAATCAATTTTATACAATCGTGAACTACATGTGTCCATAAGAGTGTAAATTTTTCATTCAATACTACCAGATCAAATAATTTTTTTCCCTTTACTTTTTTACTTTGTTTAATGTTTATACGCCCAAAAAATGCGTACGGTTTAGCTATAACCCAATATTCAATGACCTTTCTCCGGTAATTATGGATTCCGAAGTAAAGTATTCAAATCTTAAAGGAAAAAAAGAGGAAAAACAAGTAAAAAAATAATAACAATGATGATGATAATAATAATAAAAATAATAATATTAAGATGATAATAATAATAATAATAATAATAATAATGATAATAATAATAATGATAATAATGATAATAATTATAATAAAAAAGAAAATAATATCAGTAATAATAATAATAATAATAATAAGAGTAATGATAATAATAATAATAATAATAATTATAATAATTATTATTATAATAATAATGATAGTAATAATAATAATAATAATGATAATAAAAATAATAAACGGCTTTAATTCATGAGTCATTTTTCACAACTAAATTATAAAAATTCTGGATAAACGGCTAAGGAAATGAATAATATTCCTATTAAAGGACTATTTCACTATAACTGTACTAATCGCCAATATACAACAAAAGAAAAAAGATTGTTCTGGTAACAGGCCAGTAAGACTATAAAATTACAACAAAAATAAAAGAAAATCGAAAAATAAAATTACAAATATTTCTGTGGTATAATCGGCCTTTAAATTTTTAAATTCGTAAAATATAATTTGTCTGTTTTGTTCTTCTTTTAGAGTTTTTATTCACCACTATACCACTTTACATGTCTATATTTGTATGGCTTTATTATGATTTTTCAAAGATTTCAAGGTTGTCGAGTTTCAAGATTTTATTTAAACAACACCAAAACATCACGACACTTAAATACTACTGCAATTTAACTTTTGAATAATACATTTTAGCATTAAAGCAGAATGCTAAATTCAAAGAAAATTTTGAAAAATTTATTTATAATTGTATATAAAAGTGAAATATTGTGAATTGAACAAAGAAATAATTTTGCTACTTTTATGACAAATATTTTAACATTTACTGGTATTTTCTTCAGGTAACAAAAATCTAACATTCTCTAAAACCAATATTTCAATAATATAAAACTCATAACTTGCCTTTTTGAAAGAAGTCAAAATTTATTTGTTTCTGCAGCATAACGTGCCTTTAACATTTTAGTTCAGTTTTCTAAAGTTTGATTTTCTTAAAATATTTTGGCTCATATGAAAAAATGCAGCTTTAAAGTATCATAGCAGCATTATAAAACATAAACACATACATAAGCAAACATATATTTATATATATCTTTAATGCCAATAAACGATTCTGTTCTGATCTATTTTGTTCTCCTTAATCATATATACTAAATGATTTGATTTTAAACCTTTTGATTTATGTCATTATTATTTTTTTTCATCGCTTAATGGACAAAAGTAAAGGTCTATTAAAGACCCATTAAGTCTTAAAACTGTTTACTTTTTATCTTATTATAGTTTGCTTAAACATACTCATCTGTTTTTATACGTACTATCTTTTGCATCTTACTTTTGTTGGCAATTGGTATAATTATAGTGAATAAGTTTTTTGTATGAAAGCCATAAAATTACTTTGTTAACATTTTGGATTTTAATTAAAGGTCTTACTTTCATAAGGGGTACCGTGTCCTGGTGAAATTAGGATTGATATAGAGTAAGTGTCAAACCTGTGTTTAACACAATCGCCGAATAAAGATCACCCTGCGAATAAAGACCACTCTCCGATAAACCTTTATTGATAATATAGATATAAATAACCTGCAAATAAAAAAAGATCTTATTAACCTCCAAGTAAAGGCCACTTGTCTTTAAAGACCATGTTCAGTCCCTTATTTGAATGGCCTTTATTCACAGGTTGAACTGTAGATCTTATTTTTTTTTTCGTAAACTTAAAGCGACTGATTTAATCGATAATTATAAACCATACAAGGAATGGCGTTGGTCCTAATCGAACAGTTTCATATTACATGTACTTCAATAAAATACAAAGATTCACGGATAAAATGGTCCCACGTTCTGATAATCAGATCCTACATTATAAAAAAATGTTTTAGATGTTTTAATGATTAAGCAATGACTTTGTGTTACCTCTTAAAAGGGTACATACATACGATATACATACTAAACGGTATCATAATTAGGAGTGACAGGTTCATCTGTTCACATGCATTCGGTCGTTCCTTTTTCTAACCAAACACTGGTTACTGTTACCGAGGTTATTATTTAAACCAATGGTCAAAAAAGTATATATTATCTTTGTTAAAGTACGACAATGTATGACATGTTTATATTAGTCAGGGTCTTTCAATCATAATCGAGGCGTCTGTGGCCGTGTGGTTAAGGTCGTTGATTTAAAACCGCTTGCCCCTCACAACTGTGGGTTCATAACCCGACAGGAACTTTGAATTTTTTCGTGTGAGGAAGCTACGGAACGTCAGTGCACATGGCTCTACTCAGGTGCCTGAAATAATGCACGAAAAGGGCACCTGAGGTCTTCCTCCACCAGTTAAGGTAGAACGTCGCCATATGACCAATACTGTGCCGGTGTGAGGTAAACTCCAATCAAAACAAACAAATTGAAATAAATATTACAACGCATATCATAAAAAAGTCGATACCAAGACCTAGTATAGTGACAGGCTCCACTGCGTGTGCTATTCATATTGTATAAGGCACGTCTGGATTCTAATCTTTCATTGGATATATTGTAACCTTGAAGTTAAAATTGTTCTTTTAGAACATAGGGTACTTTAGTCGCCGTATAAACGTTCAATATTTGTGAATCAATATGTTAGGAATACGTTTAACTAAACTAAAAGGATTTCTACTGGTTTGTGTTTTATGTTAATGATTGTTAAACTATGTAAATTGCATATGGTTTGTTCTGATATTTGTTCTGTATTCGTGTAGTGTAGAAAATAGTGAAATAATGCTAAAGCACAAAAAAAAAAAATATTGAAATTTTTGAAATTCTTACTGAACATGTCTAATTTGAATCAGTCAACTATGTAATGAGAAGCTGCGTATAAGTAAAGCTGGTCTTTTCATTAATAAACAATGCTAGTTTTATATGACACTATTATATTCATATTTCGACTACCTTCTATAGATTATAGAATTTTAAATGTAACATTTGATACTTTGTGTGGAATCAATACGTTAATTCACATAAACAAAGAGACTGTGTAGCACTTATCAATATTTTCTAATGTCAGATTTGAGCATAGTATATCTTTTAAGCTCTATCTTTGTTTAACTAACAATAATGTTTCTTTGGAAGGATTTCCTACTGTTATGTAGCCGCCGTTTCTTGAACACCTTTCTAAGGCTAAACCAAACTGACTACGAAATTTTTACGAAAAAAAAAAAATGGGACGAGCGAGCGACAATCGTTAATAATTGATACTTAAAATCAATAATTATGATGTGCGAGCGAGCGAGAAAACGAAATAATTGTTTTTCTGTCACGAAGAGCCAAAATAACAAAAAAAAAAACAAAAAAACAAAAAAACAAAAACAAACAAACAAACAAAAAACAAAACAAAAAACAAAAAACAACAGCGGATTAAGTCTATGTTTCTGTCAAGGTTGGAGTCTCATTCATTACAATTTTGAAACGTTCCCGTATTAAGGAGATAGGGGAATCTATTATGTTTTACATAACCCTTACGAAGTTATATACATGTATTTCAAATGGACTTGTCCATATTTCAGTCTGGGTGAAACCATTCTTCATTCATTAGCAAACAGTGCAGACTATGATTAGTCAGCATAGGCATGCCAGCTGTCAAGGTCTGCACTGGTTGCATGGGTAGAGTCTGTTTCCGCCAGCAGTCAAGTTTAAAAACACTGAAGCAATTTTGAGTAACAATAATGGTGATCCCCATACCTGGTAACAGGGGCGGGTCCAGGATATTTTATCACATAGGGTCACAAAATTTCGACAAGGGTTGATGTATCTTTAAAGAGGGATTAAGTGTTCTATTTTTTACAGGTGAAGAGTCACATGTTTGCATAATTTCCACGAAAATCTAAATTTTGATATAAAAAACTTAATGTAATGTAATATAATATCGTAAACATGTATACTTATTTTCAGTACGGCCTTCTGATTTATTGTTTGGTTTTATTAACCTGTCAATTACATACTGATTACACGGTCGATGCACACAGTATATTAATCTTCGGTAGATGTTCGATAAGTTCCGTGAGATGTACGCTATACGATGGAATTTAATTTAATTTGTATCGCTAAACTAAGTGTACTCCGCGTTATAGCACAATAGCGTAAATCACGAGTTTATAATCTAGGTGCAACACGTGTTTTAAGTTCGAGGCCGCGTTGGTCCATGTTTTTTTCTTATTAATACTTTCAACATTATTGAATCTATATATGATTATTTATGTTGTTCGTTTTTGTTTATGTTTTACTTAATTTTGTTATGTATTTACTCTTTTTAAATAACATGTCTTTTAAGAATTCATGTTTAAAATTAAAACGGATTAAAATCAATAAATGTCTTTTCAATGCCGTAAAAAAACATACTACAAATCTGTTCCATTAAAATATACTGCAAAAATAAAGAAGAGTACTAAAACAATGGTAACAGTACGGATCGAAACCACAGAATCTCTCAATTATCAGTCATTCTCTTTACCGACTGTCCTATTGTGAATTAACGAAAACCTTTACATTAAGCTGGCGTGACTTTCAATCCATGACTAATATACTCCACATTAATTCTCGTAAACTACACGGACCAAACCGAAGTGGGATCGAATATATTTAAATGAGTCCTATAATGTATTCATAATTGACAGGTCAATAAAATCAGACTATAACAATAACAAAGAAAACAAATACTAGTAGATAATGGTTAGATTTTTTCATTCATCCGACTGACACTCAATAATCATAGTAATTGAAGATAAACTCGTAATAATAAAAAAAAGATAATATTACATTAATTATTATAAATTTTAAGTTAATTTGTCCCAAACGTCAATACTGAAATAAGAAAAAGAATCCTTTAAATAATTAGTATGAGGTTTACTTTTCAGAACAACATCGTTATGAACTATTTAACTCATTGTGAGATAAACCAAAAATTTTACTCGTGTACAACGGTGCCAAATAATTTAAAAGATGTATACAACAGAATTGCTGTGTGGTATTTCAGCCTAAAATTTAAGTTGATTGAAATAATACAAAGATCTAATGTTGTAATTTGGTGTATGAGTTTGTGTCCTTTCCCTATACCGTACAACAATAATCAAGCATAGGAAGGATGTACGCGTTGTAATACATCTTTTTTAATTCGTAAGTAAGGTAAAAAATGATATGTTTGAAGAGGGTAATATCCGCAATTAGTTTTTATTTTTTTTAGAGAACCAATCATGCATTTTGTTTTTATGGGGTGCAAGGCCATATTATTATTAAGGAAACTAATACATGCCTTTAAGTCAACACTCTGTGCATGCATATGTATACGATTTAACTGTGACACATTTTCAACATAAAGGTCCCAAACTATGATACAAAGAATGTATAGACGTGCAGCAATGTTTTGACAACGCTAAAAATAGCTTCATTGATAAGGTTAGTCGAACAGGGAACATAATCCGGTGCAATTTTAATATTATCCGTTGTGCAAGACATTCAATAATTACATGTTTATTTTTTTTGCAATAAAGAAGAATAGAATTGGATACGAAAACGCAAACCCGACTGTCGTTGTGGTTTTTTAAATTCAGGTTATGAAGAGCTCAAGTTATGAACATGATTGTTCGGTTAAATCTGCAATTGTGTGCATTTCTTTTGATTGAGTTTTTAAACTTTCAGAATGAGTTTTTGATAGCTTGTCACGTAAATTCTGTTTTTCTCTTCATGAACCTGCAAGGAAATCAATGTTTTGCACAATTGAAAGTTGAAGTTACTACGCGGTTATTAGGCAAAATTAAATGTACTAGTATTTGATTGTGTGTAACATTCACTTGACATATTGAATAGTATCATTAATTTTATTCTTTTTGAAATTCTGACTGTAAGTCAGTGCGAATCTGTGTAAAACTTTAAGTTCTCAAACAGACTTGTGTGTACAAAGATTACGAGGAACTGTTAGTATAAAATTGTCTAAAATAAAGAAAAAAAAAACAACAAAAAACAAACAAACAAAACCCCCAAAAAAACGACAAAAAAAAAAACAAATAGTGAAAAATTCTTTTAAAATTTCTTAAAAGTGTGGTGTACCAGAAGATAAAAAAAATTAATGTCTGTTAATGCAATTAATAATATTTATATACAGTTTCAATACTTTAACCTAAAACAAAGTTCTACCTTAATAGTTAATATTTATTTTACTTGTTTTTTTTTCTTCAAAGAAATATATATGGTGTACTAGGGGAAGCATACCATTTAAAAAAAATGTAAATTAACTACACTTAAAAGAATATCACTTTTTAAAATAGGTATTGGTTTAAAATATAATTTTTGTACACTGTATAAAAGTAATATTATTTAAATTATGTAATTTTCATTTTGCACAATTGTACCATAGTTGTAAGCTTGTTTGTCAAGTTTTGTCAACATAAATTTAAATAATACTGCATCAGGAAATGCTAACCATAAACATTATGCTAATATTTTACCATCTGTATCATGTAAAATCTAGCGGTGTGGCCCCTCCTACTTAAATAAAAAAAAAAACCTTTCACATTACTAATAAAAGACTTGCTGCTAAATATAATACTGGTACTCCTTTAACAGCAACTGGTGCATGTGGTAACAGCTATCCCAATAGGCATTTGTTGTTTAATAAGGTTTGAGAAAAAAGTCTTCATGTAACCCTGCTGCCAAATATTCATTTCCTAAACCTTATGTAAATACACACACTTATAACAATCCACTTCCTACACCCCCTGTACCTTCTCCACCCATACAGTATTCTATTTCTCACCCTAATGGGTTGCAGAAACCTGCTCAATTTTCTTCTAAAGTACCTAAGTTGCCCAAGGTTTCTATTAAGAATCTTAATAATTGTGCTTTTAATTAATTTATAAAGGTATAAAAAACTGGTTAATTAGAAATAGCATGTATCCTAAAGATATTTTGCTTATATCCATAAAAAAGAGTCTTAAGGTTAGAGCCCGTACAGATCTTTTACATCTTGAAAAGAATGTTTCTGTTCAACATATTTTGTCTAAATTGAAGGGTATTTTTGGTCATGTCTCCAGTGGTAAAAAGCCAAAAAAGTTTTATTATGCTCAGCAACTACCTTGCAAATTATAGCCTTAAATTAAAACAGCTTTTGTCCAAGTTTAACATTAGGGTTAAGCAGTCAACCAAAAATAAAATGTTATGTAATAGGTTTTAGTCCGGGTTGAATAACATCTCTAAAGTGTTTCCAAATACAAGTATAAAGAATCCATAATTATGAATCACTTAGAAAGAAGCTCAAACAGATGATGAAAAACTTAAAATTGAATAAAAAAATTCATCTTCTCTCACACTTTCAGTAAGTTAGGCCAAGTCCTCCCAGTTTGGTCAATCCTCTAAGGGTAAAAAATATCTAAATGTCAAGGTTAAACCTGCTTCCCTCTTAATGTCATTTGTTAAAAATAAAAATCTTCAACAGTTACAAAATTTAACCACACAAATACAGCAGCTAAATTCCAGGGTTGGCAATGTTAAAAAGAAACTTCAAAGTTAAAAAAACCCCAAAACTACCAAGGTAAATACCAAAAAAGAAGCAAATTAAGTAATAAAAGTAAAAAGCAGGGTACAGCAAAAAAAAAAAAACAACACCTATGGCTATTAAAAAGTCTGTTTTA